CATATCCATAGTGATATATGTTTCCCTACCAGATAAACACATATCCCTAGTGATATGTGTTCCCCTTCTTTGGAAACACATATCCGTGGTGATATGTGTTCCTCTTCCTGGGAAACACATATCTTTAGTGATATGAGTTCCCCTACCAGGGAAACAGATATCTCTAGTGATATGTGTTGCCCTACCAGGGAAACACATATTCCTAGTGATATGCGTTCCCCTTCCTGGGAAACACGTATCCCTGGTGATATGTGTTCTCCTTCCTGGGAAACACTTATCCCTAGTGATATGAGTTCCCCTACTAGGGAAACACATATCACTTGTGATATGTGTTCCCCTTCCTGGGAAACACATATCCCTAGGGATATGAGTTCCCTTACCAGGGAAACACATATCCCTAGTGATATGTGTTCCCCTACCAGATAAACATATATTCCTAGTGATATGTGTTCCCCTTCCTGGGAAACACATATCCCTAGTGACATGTGTTCCCCTTCCTTGGAAACGCATATCCCTAGTGTCATGTGTTTCTTTAGGGAAACATTTATCGCGAGTGATATGTGTTACCCTACCCGGGAAACACATATCCCTAGTGAGATCCGTTCCCCTTTGTGGGAAACACATTTCCCTAATTATATGTGTTTCTCTTTTTGGGAAACACATATCCCTAGCGGTATGTGTTCCTCTACCAGATGAACACATATCCCTAGTTATATGTGTTCTCTTTCGTGGAAATCAGATATGCTAGTGTATGTGTTTCCCTGGTAGGAAACACTATCGCTAGTGATATGTGTTCCTCTACCCGTGAACAGATATCACTAATTACTTGTGTTCCCCTTCCTGGGAAATGCATATCCCTAGTGATACGTGTTCCTCCACCAGGGAAACACATATCACTAGAGACTTGTGTTTCTCTACCAGAGAAACACATATCCCTAGTGACATGGGTTTCCCCACCTTGGAAACACATATCCCTGGTGATATGTGTTCCCTTACCAGGAAAACACACATGTCTAGTGAAAGAAAATTAAAAGATGATTGAAGGAAAATATGAGAACCCTTTTGAACCGAAAATTTGTGTAAATAAAGGTGTTTAACCTTTGTAATGCCTCATGAAAGTAGAAACTCAGAAGTATTGACAGTTCCTTGGTTTGAACATTTTTTTTGTTGCCGTTGGAAAACCGAGAAGATGATACCTTTTTTCTCACCCAATCTTTTTAAAAGAGTCTCTGTTCTGTCACGTAATGTTTCGTGAGTTATACTCAATCACAGATTTTCGTTATTGCTTGTGGTTTTTTTCAGTGTGTCGTTTTGCTGTCCTGTCCAAATAAAATTTGCACAATAGTTATCTTCTTATATTACTACATATTTGTTGAACTATTGAACAAGGTATGTGTAACAGAGTCTTCTGTTTCACCCAGTAGGACCAAGTTATAACAGTAACTATGAACTTCTTTTCTTTTGTCTTATAAACATGTATTGTTTTTCATCAGAGGCCAATCTCAGGAGGGAGTTTGCAGAGATGGGCTGGAGTAGACAATGGTAAGTTAATGTTCATTTGCTCCGAGATTGTTGTTTTTGGTGTTTTGGTATTTGAAGAAAATTCGTGAATCCAGGTTACTGAGAGAAGAAGGGTTTTCACTGCTTTTAAGATAAACAGCTTCTAGCTAGGGGTTGCCACTTGGAAAGATTTACTGTTGACATTTTTAGACTGTGTGACTGAAAATAATGCCAGTTGTGGAAACAAAATTGATTTTATTCCCATGAATGTGGTGCAATGCGAAATAACAATGTAGCGCATAGCCTGAAGGGAGGCAGTGATAAAATGGATAGGTCACGTGTTCAATGACAAAAATTCATTTATGTCACTCTCAATATTTAAAACTATGAAGATTGATTTGTACTTAGCTTACATAAACGCAACGAAAGAACTTATGATCAATAGACCACTCTCTCTATGGGTTTGCAGGCGTGATAACCCACGCGGGATGTTGGGAGAACACGAGAAAAGCTTGTAAATCACGAGCCGAAGTCGAGCGATTTACAAATTCTTCGAGTGTTCTCCCAACTGGGGTATCACGCCAGTAAACCCATAGAAAGTCTGGTCTATCGCTTTTATAAAAATGTTTCAGTTTTCTATGAGTTTACCGGCCCAATAAACCATAGGTTTTTAACCAATCAGAATGCGCGTACTAACTTAGTTAGTTTATAAGGTGTTGTAAACAAGGCAATGACAACCCATAAACTGAGAATCCTTCTAGGATACATAAAGGATACCAAATTATTGTTCAATACTGCTGCACTGTTACGGACCGTTACAGTGTGGGTATATGAAACAACTGTCGCAAAAGTACCTGTCATCACTTGACAAAGTAAAAAATTTTACAGAACAGAAAAAAAAAACAAAAAAAACAAAGAACATCCGTCAACCAAACCATTCATACAGATTGGGCGACAATAACTGAATAGAGTATGACGTAACATGATCCTTATACGTTTCTGTGGAAACTGCCCTCCTACCCCTTCCTTAAGCCAACATTTTGCCCTAAGTGAGAAGTAAGTGTTAATGTTGTCTTAAGGGAGGGGTATGTGGGCAGTTTCCCAGAAAGGTATAATGACCCCTTCCGTGAGGGAAGGGAAACTGTGGAAACTGCCCTTCTACCCCTCCCTTAGGCCAACATTTTTTTCTAAGTGAGAAGTAAGTGTTAATGTTGTCGTAGGGGAGGGGTATGTGAGCAGTTTCCCAGAAACGTATAATGACCCCTTCCGCGAGGGAGTGTGAGTATCAATCTCTGATTAACAGAATAATTTGAAATAACAGAATAACAGGATGGAACAGAATAATTGGACACCGTAAAATTCCGAAAATACGCCCCTCCATGTATAAGCCTCTCCAAATATAAGCGCCCCAAACACGTAACGCAAAAAACCCTCCGTTAAATCGCCCCTCCAAATATAAGCCCCCAGGCGGCTTGTACTTGGAAAATTTCCCTCAAATACAAAGTAAAACAAAGCAAAAACGGTAAATTTACTTCCAACTATAAGGCTAGCCCAGTCGGTATTTTAAAAACGCAAATTTCCCTCCTGGGGCCTTTTTTCGGAATTTTAGAGTAGTTAAAGCCTTCATAAAACGAACAACCCGTCACACAAAGCAATCATACAATAAATTTGGGATGTTTGTACACAAACTAATTCAATTTTGTGCGTTTGTGATTTCCCTAAACCTAAATGTTTGTTTGTTTTCCATTTTTATTTGACTTTTGTTTTTTTTCTTGTTAATCAGAATACTAGTCACAGGGCTGAAATCATTCCTATCTAGCTGGAGCGGTTAATAAAGCACTGGACACAGGCTGCAGATCTCTCTTACCAGGTGAATTTTACCAGATAATACTTCGTTTTGAAAACAAAACGTTTTCTCTGATTTTCAACAAATATTACTAGTAACAGCCAAAGGTTGCCGCGTGCGGGCAAGGATAAAAGTTCAGAGTGCTTAATTTTTGCTCAAACGCTGTGCTTTGCGTAAGTTTCGTGTCATAGATCACCAAAACACGCGTAATTAGATAACGGGTGATAGAAGTTCCAAACACGCGTGATCAGAGTGCGTTTTGTGCGTTACATTGCATTCTTAGTGGAAGTCCAAATGAAGCTGGCTACAAACGTAGCGTGCATGCGTACAGTGGGACTACTGTAACCGGAGCTACTTAGTCAAAGTCGACCAATCGAATTACAGGAAAATAACAGTACATTCCAAGAAAGTTGGTTGTGGGCCAATCAGCAGCTAATAAAAAAAGCAATAAGTTACTCGAAGTACCAAATTTAAACAATGATAGCAAACGTTTTTCTAGAAAGCAAAATGTTTTTTAAAAGACAATGTTTTTGTATTCGAAACTTTACATATGACACCCAGGAGACATTATTTGTTTGACACAAGATGGTATTTTGTCATCTACCAGCAATTTCTTTAGACTACTTGCAGTCCGCCTTTTCTCTCAAAATCCGTCTAGTTCTTATCTCATCCAGCGCGATTGCAAACCACGACGTTATTATTACAACGACCACGACGTTATTATTATTACTGACTCTTTTGTAGTAAACAAACCCTTCTTCCCTCTTACTTTTTCTTTTCGGGCTTACGCCCTCGTTTCTCGCGGCTCGCGGCTTTGCCGCTCGCGTGCTTAGGTTTCGCGTGCAGTAACCTTGCAAAGAAAAATAAGAGACTGCTGGCAGTCTAAAATTTCTTCGGTACCATTGCCGCGCTCTGAAATAACATGCGACCTCAGCTCAAAATTATAACTAACGTTCACGCTTTTCGCGTCCGTCACTCATAGTAACGGGCCTCTCAGGAAACACTGGCTTTCTTCAGCGGGTTCAAAAGGTAACGTCTGTGATGCATGGTTGATTTCGATCCATGTTGTTTATTTTGTTTCGTGGTAATTACGATTGACGACTAACTTTCTCGGATTGTATTGTTATTTTCTTGTAATCCGATTGGTCAGCTTTATCTAGGTTATGGTAGTCACGCTGTATTAGCACCTGGAGATTAAGATTGTGGTCGCCTGTTGCAGTCGCCTGCAATCACAATCTTAGGCCATGTCCACACGACTCCCTTAAGTTTCCGTGTTGGAACTTGTCAGCTTCTGCCATGACTGTTCACATTGCACCGTAGGCCATAAAAACAGGAACTGAAGGATGACTTAGTAGACAGAATTACCTTCATGAACTAAACCAGCGAAGTACCGACTGCTTGCATAGCGTTAATTAATGTACCAAGAACAAACATTGAAAACTTTTAGCCTAACTGGACCATTATTCTTGGAGTAAAGAGAAAACTTGGTTACTTCGCACAAATTCACGTTTGCCGCCATTTGCCGTAAACGTGACTCCCCTAAATCTCTCTAATAACGATAACAAATAATATGGCATCAACGCCCACTGAAATATGAGCAAAGCTACACTTAAATTTCTTCTGCTTGTAACAAAAGTTTTTGGGATTTTTTTCAGACAGAACGACGCAGCTGTCACCCTTCGATGCTTCCCATCTCTGTGCAACATGGAATAAAGGAATAATGGAATTATCGTTGAGTGCAAGGAAACAAGATGAAAGATCAAGTGGTGGCAAGAAAGCATCACAAACAGTCTTTAACAAGGACATGAGGTAGCTAAAATAGATCTAAATAGGACTTAAATTGATAGTAGAACTGAGGCACGCCTAGTACCTACAATGAACTACTTGTACAACAAAAATAAATAAATACATATAAATAATACGTCCACTCCTTCTTAAGCACTAAGCCCCACCAACTATACCAACCACATTATTTACATCCACTCACCCTTAAGTACATCAAACTTGACTGGACTATAGGAAATAAGACTCAGTTATACCAACTCACAGCGCAAACTATACCAGGCTGCATTCACTTTCATCCAGTTAGAATACTCTTACGTACACCCAACTAAACTGAACTACAATAAACTACCCTCAGTTATTCCAGCTAAGGGCTAACTACGCCAAGCTACTCAATTGTACATTTGCATCCAATCACTCTTAAAGAGTATATGACAGATAATAGGCCATTTGCAATAAGAGGTCATGTGACATCGTTTTTATGAAACTGAAAGTTATATGATTTTTTCTTCAAAAAACGATTAGTGGGTCATATCTTTAACAAAATAATAGTGATTTTGTTTTGCAAACCTGCACCATTTTCTTAAAATGAGTAAGTTCGTAGCTGGTCACCTGACCAAAGTGTGATATTACAAAAGTAGGTTGAGTTCGATCGTCCGGGTGAACGTAGTCCTGAATAGGACTGTTGTTGACAGTGACTGACGCTTCGACAACCTGTGCGGTAGTCATCTTCAGAGTCAAAGTGAGTTGTATCACGTTAGTTGATGGTATTATCCTCTGGTTATTGGTCTGATTGGTCAATTTTGTTGCGATGTTATTGGTCGTCTGTCAGTTAAGCCGTGATGGTATTGGCTATGAAGACTCGTAATCAGTAATTGGTGCGTTTCGATCCGTCTATTGTCACAGTTAAACAGTCGTCTATTTTTCAGTAGTCAAATTGTCAGTTCTCCAGTCGTTCTCTCGTGGTTAGTTTTGCTTGATCTCGTCAATGAGTCGTTTGTACGGCGCTGGTAACTGTTGGCTACGATTCAGTGGCGTTTGTTCTAAATTAGTAAACCAGCTTTCTAAAGTAAGATGTTGATAGTAGTGGGTTCAAACCTTTCACAGTATTATGAATTACCTCTTTCTGAACACAAACTTTGCACTTAAACCTCAAGGAAAACGTTGAAAAGTTGATGTAGGAACGTTTACAGCACATCTGAGCATAACTGTCAAACGTTTAGCAAGATGTAAGCAAAAAGTACTTTTGGCCGCCATGTTGGAGGGCAAGAGTTTGCCCTCCAACATGGCGGCCAATACAAATGATATTACTTTGTTGAAAAATCAAACTGTCGTAAAATATCTCCCTTAAATGCGTTTCCTCTCAAATTTCGGGTGTAAGATAATTTATGTGTGCTCTGTCAAATTTTGGCATCAGCTAGATTCCAGCTCATTGTTTAAAGGAAGCATTGGTCACGTGACCTCTTAGTGCAAGTGGCCTACTCTTTTAAACTAATCAGCCTGAACAAATTTTGGTCCAAATATAAAATTAATTCAGTAACCACTCTAAACTTGAATGTGTCTCCTCAAACGTTTTTTGCTGTCCAAAAACTGCTTTTCCCACTTCATAAATGTCCCAGAGACTGGGAATTTCTATAGCGCCAAAATTCCTATGGCTCCAAGGTGCTCTACAAAGTACATAAAAATATTAAAATTTACAAAATAATGTAAAGTATCCAGTTAACTAATAAAAAACATCTACTATGTATCAAGGGCGATAAAAGTGTACACCCAAATGCAAAAAACTAAGGTATTAACTAAATGTTCTGTTAAAAAAAAAAAAACCTTTAGAACTTACTCTTTAAGATATCGACCGAAGAAGAGATTTTTTTATGTGGCAAAAAGTTCCATAGTTTTGGAGCATAGACTAAGAAGGCACAGTCACCATATGTCTTTAAGTTGGAAAAGGTGTCAGTAGCAACTACATTTAATTAGGACGATCTAAGGTTGTGTGTCGGAGGGTAAATAGTTGGTAGGTCCTTTCTGTAAAAGGGTTGCTAAGTGATGAAGAGCCTTAAAGGTAAAAAGCAAGATTTTAAAGACAATACGTTGGTCAACCGGGAGCCAATGAATTTCTCGTAGTATCAGGGTGATAATGGTCATATTTTCTCCCTTTCACGATAAGTCGTGAAAGCACAGTTCTGGACTTCTCGAGGTTTTTGCGTTAGGTTCTTTGGTAGTCCATATGATAATTATTAACAATTATCAAGTCTACTCGTGACAAACGCATGTACAAGACGTGTTTTGGCACTCTCATCAGGTGAAAATCTTTAAATACGGGCAATCTGTTAAATGTGGAAAAATGACGTCAGCTGCATTCAAACTGTAGACATCCTCAAGACCTAGTGCGAAGACTGTTTTAGGTCGATGTTAAGATCTTATAATAATAAATTCGGTCTTACTTTGTTCAGCTTCAAGTTGTTAATAGTCATCCATTCGTCAATGCCTTTCATACAAGACTGAGTAATTTGGACCGATTGATCGAGAGAAGATGATTCAATAAACAGATACAATTGAGTGTCATCTGTATATAGACAACGACAACGAAAATCCTTCTGTTTACCATCTTCTTGTGACTGAATTTTTGACTGGTACATTTTTCCAAATCATTCTACTTTCTGACCATACCTGTCAATTTGGCCGGGCAAAAAGGGCGGACATTTTTGGAGGCACAAAAAATATGTTTTGGAAGATTTTTGATGAGGTAACTTTTTAAATACATATTTTGGGCATTATTTAAGAATTTTAAACGTCAAAATTAAAATTTGTTATATACATTTTAAGATCACCAAACTAAACTGAACTACAAAAAATTACACTCAGTTACATGTCACCTTCAACTATGCCAATAAAAGCTAGAGTCATTCACATCCAGTCCAGTCATTCATATCCAATTTTTTTTATATTTGGCAGAATTTTCACTTTTATCGTATTTTAGATAATGAGAACTCTAAAATGGAAGTTGAACAACCGAATTCTGTGACACATTTAATAATTACAGTACAATTATATTATTGATTATCTAAAAACCCGTCTTTTAACATTTGGTCAAAATAAGTTTCAAATTGTAAGGATTAATTATAGTAAGTTGTGTGCAAGTTTGTAGGAAAATCTATTGAGCGAATTCTATGTAAACTGAGCAAAAGTGAAATTTTAAGGTTGTATTCAATCGTTCATGCTACCATGGAAACTACGACAACGTCAAATTTTACCTGTCAATCAAATTCTTTCATCAGTATATTTTTCACTTGCCAAGTTTCAACTTGTGACCTGCAACCTTTCTCTTGCCATGATTTGAAAAAATAATGACACATACTCACAAACTGCCAAAACTGTGTTCAGCCACCTTAATATGGACACCTCTTTATTACGGACAGTTTGCTTTGTCCCTGTGGAAAGAAAGCCGCTTAATACAGACACCCTGTTAATATGGACACTCTCTATGGCCCCCTCAGTTTCCGTATTAGTGGGGTTCGACTGTACTCTCTTTCACCCAATTGTGTCAAGCTAGGATCATTCACACCCAGTCACTCTTACTTACATCCAACTAAACTAAACCACAGCAAACTACACTCAATTACAATTGAACCTCCGTTACGCGGCCACCCACGGGGTACCAGTAAGTGGCTGCTCAATGGAGGTTGGCCGCTTAATAGAGGTTCATCTTAAATTAGCATAACATGATCATAATCTTGAGCCAAAAAATCACTATTTTGAAACAAACACGTAAAGGGAGCAGCGTTACTGATCCACAATTGGTCTCGTCACCTATCTCGGGCTGTATTTTCCCTCATCATATTCTTGAAATGAAGCCAAAGTAAGTTTATCAAGTGCTTGATGGCCGCTTAATAGAAGTGTAACACTGCAGTTGATTATTGGCCGCATAATATAAGGTTGCCGTTTTATAAGTGGCAGCTTGATGGAGGTTCAACTGTATACCGACCACCTGCTAACTGTGTCAAGCAAGTGCCATTCACACCCACTCACTCTTACGTACAGCTGTAGATCCATTGAAAGTGAACTATTGGCTACACTTACTATTACCAACCCACAACCAACTAAACAAAGCAGGAATTACATCCACTTACTCAGTAATTTTAAGAGTAAGTACTTTAAAGTACATGTAACTAATCAAACTACAGACAACCATACCAACCCACAGCCAACTACACCAAGCTGGAATTACATCCACTTACTCATTTCAGAGTAAGTACTTAAAAGTACATGCAACTGCACTCAACTATACCAACCCAAAACCAACCACTCCTAGCTACACTTATTTGCTTTGATTCACATTTAAGTACATCAACTACTTTCCTGAGAGTACCCTCGTACTCGCTGTTCTTAGTTATATTAATCCACACTCAACTATGCCAATCTACACTCAGTTACACCGATCAAGTCTCAACAATACTGGAACAATACTGAACAATACTGAATGGTACTTACCTACACTGAACATCAATCTACAAACTGTTCTCACCTTTTCTAACACAAACCGAACTACACTAAACAGCCACAGTCGGTTATTTACTACTTATAGTAATAGATCTTTTTAGCTTGTATGTTTTGCTCGCCTCATGTAAGGGAATCCAAGACAGTCTTGGATTCAGGATTCCACATCACGGATTCCGGATTCCAGGTCCTGGATTCCAATCTTTGTCAGTGGAACTTGGATTCAGGATTCCAATCGCAAGTGGGATTCAGGATTCTTTGAGCTGTATTCCAGATTCCAAAGCCCAAGATTCCGGATTCCACAAGCATAAATTTCCTGGATTGCGGAATCCAGATTCCCTTACATGGAGCGATTTTGTTTTCCTATTTCAGACCACATGATCTTAACCCAGAGAACTCGGTTTCTTTGAAATGTCGTCCTATGTACGTGCATCTAAGTGCATATGTATGCTTAATTTATGAAAAGACAAATTCTCTTGGTCTGAATTGGGAAAACAAAACATTAAAAACAAAAAGGTCCATTTGCTGCTTAGTTTATACAATCCCAATTTTTCTCTCATTTTCATTGGTTCATTTTCATATGGGATGCACGTGTTTCTAATTAATTTACTACTGACACTCTTCACTTACTTATTGTCTTACTTACTGTCTTTCTTATTGGAGAGCATGTGCACCCTGGCAGTTAAAGCTACAACAAGGACAAGGATGGTACCAAGCACAGACTGATGCAGAGGATGGTACCAAGAGGATAATGGCATTATTGTGTAGCAACAACAGTCACATCAAGGTCATGGATGGCGGCAAACACCTGTTGGAATGGTGTGGTAAACTAACCATCGGGAGGCACTAACAAGAAGCCAACTAAAAGGCAATGGAGGCCAATGGTTCCAAGCTCTCAGTATGGTTTGTATACAGCATAATAATATTATACCAGTTACTGGGTGATAATTACGTTACATAGTTAAATTTAAATTGAATATCAGGGTCTCGGTCATACTGATCCTTCTATTTTGTATAGCATTAAAGTTAATGATACTTTAAGATATTATAATATTAGATATATATGGATATGTAGGAGGCTACAGCATTATTATGGTTTGATTTTGCCTTGGTTTGAGAAGATTCATCTAAGCATTTTTAGGTGCTTTTTTGTATTTTTTTTTTTAAGGTAAGTGTATTTTGAAAACTACATCAGTAGTGTTAAAAGGGTTTGAATTCTCACCAAGCAATTCAAGCCACAACTGACCATTAAAATTACAATAATGGTAATATATTAAGCTAAGTATTACCATTCCAATCAGATTCACAGCTAAGGAAAGTACTCAACAGACATTTCCAAATAAATTGGCCAGGAAAAATTTAGCTTAAAATTAACATTTGAATTGCTAATAATAATCCCAAAATCACTGACTTAGCCCGGGAGGTCTGAATGCGGGGTACAGCTGGCCCGGGGTTTTCCTCCTAGGAGCAAGTGGACGTACGGGGAGGTTTTTCACCCAGCTGTTGTTCCACAACCCCCATTCAATCTAAATTGTGACTTTTTCAATAGTTTTTTAGCAAAAAGTATTTCATGATGAATGCATAATTTTTTCAAAGTATCAGTGCAGTAATTTACAGTGTGTCAAGTGACTAAAACATTTTATCCTTGATTGGTGAATCTGAACGTTTTGCTAGTCATTGAAATAAAATGGAAGAATGTTTTTAGTCATATGATATCAGTAAATATTGAACTGATCGACAAAGTTATTTAAAAGATGTATTCTTGTGTGTGTGCCACCGTTAAACAAACAAAGATTATGGCAAGACGTAGCAAATATCGATATAAGCGTTTTTCTTTTCTCTTTTTTTTTTGTCAGGATTGCTAAATTAGCAATTAGCGTAGGAAAACAACAAACATTTCGCGACCCACCCACTGGTTTCCCCACAAAATGGCATCTGAGGAACGAACACAGAAATACTATACTGACAATTCGTCATTACCCAGATCTGGATAGTGCTTCTGATTGGATGAAGCAAATTTTCAACCAATCAAAAGTACTAACCAGATCTGGGAAGTGACGTGTCATCAATATGGAATTTTTGTGCTCATTTCTCAGACGTCATTTCACGAGTAAACTATTGGTGGTGCCGCGAAATGTTGGCTATTTTCTCCTGCTATTTCTAAATTTGATCTTCCTGATTTAAAATTATTTCATTCAGTGAATTTGCCACTGTATAGCTTTCTTCGGTAGATTTTCTTGCCACTATTATCTTGTTTGTACAACATGATGAAGTTTTAAGGATTTAAGTTTAAATTTTAGCGCTTGTGGGTTCTTGTTTCAACAAAATAATAGTATGTGGCTGGATATTGGCATAACGAGGCCAATATTCAGCCACTTTGACGAACAGGCTTGATCATATAAGGATTTATCATATGGCCAAAAAGAAAACTTTTTCATGCGAGACAGACGCAAGAAAACCCGAGCGAACAAGATGGGCTCATTGGCCCGTAACAGCTCTATTTTGAACCATACTAATGCAACGTCAGACTTGCCAATTGAACATTTTAGTTATTTATTTTTTATTGTGGTTTTGGTGAACAAAAATGACTATTAATGCCAAATACCAAAAATGCACAGTACCTAAGGGTGTTGCAAACCAATGTTGATTGATAGGTTAACATTCTGTTCCAACAGTTTTCAAAAAAAAAAACTTTCATCATACAGACTGTAGTAGAATTTGAGATTAGGGTCTTCTCAGGAACTTCTCGGGTGTGCCAAGCTATCGAGGATAGCTAGCACAAAAAAGTTCTCTTAATCGTTGATGGGCAAGACTAAAAAGTAGCTAAAATTTTCTTGCGTACCTTTTCTGATAGGTTAACATTTTTAGCGGCTGATTTGATGTAGTATTACCACTTTTTACCACAAACAGCATTATTTTTATTCAGCTTTTAACTCTTATTTAGCTAATCAAGAACAAGCGTAGAATTTTTGTAACAAGGAATTTTTGATTTTTTTTTTTTTTAACAGAAGGCTGCTAAGAATGGTAACCTTACTTCTCATTAGAAAGCTTCAAAGGCAATAACCGTTATGCTTGATTAACCATTAGTATATGAGGATAGACTATTTCTTTTAAAACATTTAGGAATGGTGTCTACAGTCAACATCATGCTATCGGTGCTGTTGTAGTTCGTAAAAAAGCCTCGTCACTTTTTTTGTCCTCAGCGGAACCCATAATGGGTTCTTCCAAATTTCTACTTTTGGGAAGGGATGCAAAAGACAACCATAATTGATGAGTAAGAGCTATTTATGCGATAGCCATTCTTAGCTTCGCCTTGCAGTGAACCTGAAGTGAATTAGCAGATTGGGAAGGGCGATTAGAGAGGTTGGGTGTGGCAGAGCTCTTGCATTCAGGGCAATCAAAATGTGTCAAGAAAAACACTAAATTTTATTTGGTACAAATTGATTATTTGCAAGAAATAATGCGATTGACGTTTTAGAATTTCCAAGTACATTAGCCAGTAGCACTGGTGGGTAGCATGGTGTTGCTCTGTATTAGTTTACATTGTCTATAACCAAAGGAAGCATTTAAATTGCACAACAATGAAATTTCAGTTAAATAATTTCAAACAGCATGCGCATAAAAGCTTTTTCGCAGGTTTAGTTTTTAGAATACGCATTTCCTGGGAATGTTATTTTTTTTTGCTAAATGCTTCCTTTGTTTATTTATGATTATATGATTATGTAAAGCAAGCTTGTTAGCACATTAGCCAAGTTTAATTTTACATCAGAATCAACTCGCAATCATAATCTTGTGGGCAAAAAAGTACGTTGAACTATTCAGCGAAAAATTTTTTTTATTGGCAAATTCTATTTCATGTAAAAAATGAAACCTGAAAATCCACTTTTCAATTAATTGTTTTACCAAGGTAATTGGAAACAAATTACTTATTGAAAAGTCATACAAAAGTAACAAATCTTGCAAAATGTTAGAAGAGACAAAAAAATCACAAAAACAAAAAGTTATTAGGTTTTTTTAAGGTTATATGCATAACCAAATCTACCTTCGATCCTGACCATCTTACGAAATAACAGGAGACTGTGAACAGTCTAAGGTTATATATGCAATCATAAGTAATTATCATAATTAAGCGTAATTATTAATTAGTATAATTTTACTGGTAAGCCTATCAACAGTCTGCTTTTGCTTCACTGTTTCATCATCAATTCAATTAAGAAAAACTAAATTAATCTTTTTTCTTGTTTAGTGCTATTACATACTGCTAAAACGCGGGAAACCTAGAATCTAAAGCTTTATATAAGCAGACTGTTGAATAGAATTGTTCTGTGTTTAGATGCTTTAATGTATATCTTGGTGTATGAAAATCATAAGAGTATTCAATTGTTTTCAACTATTCAAGCTTTCAGCCAGCTTAACATTTGTTCTTTTTAACATTAGCTTTTCAGTGAATAGTGTCATTTTTTTTCTTGCACACAATAACAGCGTCTTAGGACGTAGGACATAGGACTTGAATTTTTTCCTCCTTATTGGTCTTCTAACACCAAGAAATACAGGTATTTGTGTTAGGTCATTTATAGTGCTAACAAGCTTGCAGTAGTTTTAAAATGTTAGGTTCTTATTTAATTTCAGACCTCAGGTGGCACACTCACAAGATTAGGAGCCCATCACTTGGGCAAGGTCATGTTTAAATCTAGCCAACCTCGTCCCTGCTGGGCTGTGGAAGCTCTGCCTCTGAGAAGGTGTGTTTCTGATGTCCTCTGAGATATTCCATCCGAGAAATCCTGGTCTGTTTTATCTGATCCTGTAATTCATGCTGGGGACAGTTGGGCATTTGGAACATTTGGCCGTTTGTTCCCAAGTGGGGAGGACAGCGTGGAGGAAGGTGAGAGTTTGCTCCTTATGTTCTTAGGGTTTCATTCATTTTGTTATGATACCACACCTTTTTCCAAAAAGAACCAATTAAAACAATTAATTCGGCCCAGTAAGATGCTTGTCTGCAACAAGATATCTGGGAATGTTCCACTGATCAGGATGAAAAACAGGGGTGCTAACATTGTGGCTCACGGAGCAGGTGTATCGAAGGAGGAGGCGAGGGCAAAGGATTGAGCACTTAATTCTGCCAGTCTGGGCAAGCTGGATTTTTACAAATGACATCAAATGAGCTATAGTCTTTACGAATCTTTCTAATGTGGGGCAACTGGTCAAGGATTTCTCTTCTAAACCTAAACCTCGCGCCGGCTTTTCAAAACATCGCACTAGCAAAAATCTATTATTTTTGTTGTAATTATAATTTTCCATTTTTCGTTCCCATAACTGCAAAATTTCCTATTAATAAAAATTTAGATTTTTTCTTTGCCTAAACCATAATTATGAACAAAACATCGCGCATAAATAGGTTTGATTTCGGCTTTAATGTCCCTAATTTCCAATCCAAATTATTTCAAAATTAGCAAACTAAGTTAAAGTTAAGAATTCATTTTTTTCTTTCATCACAGCGACATTAGAAATTAGACCATTATAGGATAACACTGTCAAGTTAGCTTGATCAATCAGACAGCTGTGGAAGTCTGTTTTGCCTCCTTATTTGTAAGAGGAGTGGAGCATATTTCTTTGGACTGTGTGATAAATCAGGTTTATTTGACCTAAATACTTCACTTTCGGATAATCTCAAATAAACACCTAGCATCATAAACATTGATTTCGCTTAGGGCCTGTTTACATGGGGTGAGGGACCCCGGTCTAGTGGCGTTGGTTTCTTTTGTTTTCACGCTCTGGGGGACACAAAACAAAAGAAACTTACCCCACTAAACCGGGGTCCCCAACTCCATGTAAACAGGGTCTTAGTCATAA